ACCTTCCAATATCTCTATGTGAAAGGGAGAGAAAACAGAACCAATTCCAAGCAAAAAATGGGAAGCTGGAAATTTTTTATTTGGGGTCCCTAGACCTCTTTACTTTTCCTCACACAGGAAACCCTTGGCTCTGTGTGTTTCACTAGCTGTCCCCAATGTGTGTAGTTCTCTCTCTCCTGAGGTTTCCCTGGTCTCTTTCAGGTCCCAGTTTGAAGGCAAAATACCTTTCTCAACTCCTATATCTTCTAGAACTGCCTATATCTTCTTTGTATGTAGTTCTTTGTATGTTTTCTCCCCCATTAGATTGCAGGCTCCTTCAGTACAGGGGATGTCTTTTGCCTTTCTTTATATCCCCAGTGCTTAGCATAGTACCTGGCACATAGCAGGTGCTTAATAAATGCTAGTTGACTTTAGTTCTTCTGCCCATTTTTCCCTTTGGCAAGGTCTCTGACATAAACTGTTTATTCATTACCTCCTGGACCTTAGTTGCTTTCTCATTAAAATAGGCAAGGGCAAGTGGATTCTGTCTGGACTATGGTTTCTGAAGTTCCATACAGCTGTGACATTTTATAGGAATATAATGTAATGTAGTTATGAGGAGTATTTTGTGTTTAATTTTCATAATTGTTACTAGAACCTCAAGAGAATGAACTGAGGAGCAAATGAGGTGTGTAGAATTGTGTTTCTCCCAGTACCCTGGCGTATAAGAGGTGCTTAATAAATATTTACTGACTGACTGGAAGACACTGGAGAAATAGGGTTTAGCTATTTTTCATCTTCCTCACAGCAGGGTTGGAAGGATGGGCTCAAGGCTAGTATGAAGCATAGGTCATCCTAACTAAATAAGTGGTCAGAGTTTGTGATATGATAAGTGGAGGCAAGATTAGAGAACTCTTGGGAAAAGAAAATGCTCTAGAGATGGAAATCTAAGGAGAGGAAGGGGTGTCATTCTGTGGGCATGGCACAAAAGTCTCATTCCAGGATGAGTTGTGAGAATGTGGAAGAAGGCCTTAGAGGAAGACATCACCTTCTTCTGGTGACCCTGATAAGCATCCACTAGGAGCAAACCGGGGGGAGGTGATGACAGTGGGTGCTAGAACTATAAGTGGCAATGGAAATGCTCATTGGGAAATCTTTGAGATTTTGAGTTATTATAAGTTTTTGCTGCACACTCTATGATTCTTTAAACAATAAAGTTCTGATATTTCTTATCCAGTGTGCTTGCAAGTGATTTCAAACCACGCTTCCTATGGTCCTAGAGACCTCAGGTATAATAATAAGAGGACACCTACCATAGGGATGTGAAGAGAATGGTTATTCAAACTTTCAGTGCTCACTGTGAAATGTTTGGGTTGGAGGTTATTTTTACTTATTGCAGATTACATGATGCTTAATGTTACCTTTTTAATTTAATGAACTCAATCATGGATAGTCATTAGCCAGTGTGTTTCCCCATGAGGGCAAATAAATTAATTAATTTTTAAAAAGTAAAAATAAATTTAAAAATTTAAAAATACCACTACTAGGTCTGTATCATAAAAGAAATTTAAAAAAAATGAAAAAGACCTACGTGTACAAAAACATTTATAACAGCTTTTTTTTTGGTGGCAAAGAATTGGAAATTGATGGGATGCCCATCAATTGGGAAATGGCTAAACAAGTTGTGGTATATGATTGTGATGGAATACTATTTTTGCTATAAGAAATGATAAACAAGATTCCCTCCTGGAAAGACTTACTTGAACTGATATAGAATGAAGTGAGAAGAACCAGAACATTACGCACAGTAACAGCAATATTGTATGATGAAGAACTGTGAATGACTTAGCTATTCTCAGCAATGCAATGATCTGAGACAACTCTGAAGGACTTAAGATAAAACATGCTATCCACTCCCAGTAAAAGAACAGATGGAGTCTGAATACAGATTGAAGCATACTTTTCTTTAAACTTTCTTTATTTCTCTTGGTGGTTTGTTTGTTTGGTTTTGTATTTTTTGTTGGGTTTTTTTTTTGGTCTGTTTTCTTTTACAAAATGACCTGATATGAAATATGTTTTGCATGACTATACATATATAACCTATATTAAGTTGCTTGCTTTCTCAATGAGGATGGCAGGAAGGGAAGAAGAAAGAGAACTTAGAGCTCAAAATTTTAAGAACAAATGTTAAAAATTTTTACATGTAACTGGGTAAAAATAAAATATAAATGACTAATTTTTAAAAGAGAAATCCTAGCTCCTTTTCCTTCCATAATATCATATTCCAAGCCCTCTAGTCCTTTAAAGTGGAAGCCACTAAATCATGTATGATTCTGACTGTGACTCCAGGATATTTGAATTGTTTCTTTCTGGCTGCTTGAAGTATTTTCACTGACCTGGGAGCTCTGGAATTTGACTATAATATTCCTGGGAGTTTTCATTTTGGTATCTTTTCCAAGAGGTGATCAGTGGACTCTCAATTTCTATTTTATCCTTTGGATCTATGATATAATGCAGTTTTCCTAGTTAGTTTCTTGAAATTTGATGTCTATGCTCTTCTTTTGATTATGGGCTTCAAATAGTTCAATAATTCTTAAATTATCTCTCCTCAATCTGTTTTCCAGATCAGCTGTTTTTCTGATGAGAAATTTCACATTCTCTTCTATTTTTTTTTCATTCTTCTGACTTTGTTTTTATTATTTCTTGGTACCTCATAGGGTCATTAGCTTCCACTTGCTCAAGTCTTTACAAAATCTTTCCTATGCTTCTCCTTTTCTCTATTTTTTACAGTTCCTATGCAGGTGCAAGTCCTCATTAGCCCGAGCTCAGATAATTGCAACAGCCTGATTATTCTTCTGACCTCATAGCTCTCCCCCTCCAGTCCATTCTATGCTCATCTGCCAAAGAGGTTTTCCTAATATACAGATTCCTCCTACTTATTATCCTCCTACTTCATAAATTTGAACGCTCCCTATTACTACTAGAATCAAATATAAAATCCTCTGTTTGACTTCTAAAGCATTTCACATCCTAGTTTCCTTCTACTTTTTATGTCCTCTTATACTTCCTCTTCATGTTCTTTATTATCCAGTGACATTGGCCTTGCTATTCCTCACACACAATGTTTTATCTTCTGGCTTGATGCATTTTCTTTTTTAAAAAAATATGGTTTATTATTTTTACTGAGCAAAAATCTATCTTCTCTTGTTTTCAGTCTCTTCTCTACCATCATTGAGAACAAATGAAAAACAAAACCCCTGTTTCAAACATGAATAGTCCAGTAAAACAAGTTTCCACATTTGCCATGTCCAAAAAAAAAATCCTTTCTGCACTCAGAATCCTTCATTTCTTTCTGAGGGGATGGACAGCACGTTTCATCATTAATCCTTTGGAATCATAGTTGTCATTATGCTAATCAGAGTCCCTAATTTTTTCAAAGTTGTTTCTTTACCATATTGTTATCCTTATATAAATTGTTTTCCTTGTCTGTTCACTTCATTCTGTATCAGTCATTAGTTCATCCAAGTCTTTCCAAATTTCTCTGAAACCATCCCTTTCATCATTTCTTACAGCACAATAGTATTCTTCACATTTATAGACCTTTCCCTAGTTGATGAGCATCCCCTCAGATTCCCATTCTTTAATACCTCTAAAGGAGCTGTAGTTTTGCACATCTTAAGAGTTCATTTTACTTAGGAGTAATCCTTAATCTACCCCTCCTATAACTTCCCCATTCCCTTTTCTACTTACCTCTCTTTCACTTCTATTTCCCCATTAAGTGAAATGTATTTCTGTACCCAACTCTGTGTGTGTCTTTGTGTGTGCGTGTGTGTGTGTGTGTGCGTGTGTGTGTATTCTTCTTTTTTTTTTTATCAGTTCACAGGAGAAGAATGTTCAAGTGTCAAATGGTCCCCACATACCCCCAGTCTTATTTGCATAATATCTTCTTGTGCGCAGTGATTATGTGAAATAATTTTCTCTAATCTTCCTTTCCTTCCCTGCCTAGTGTATTTCTTTTTCCCAGTCTTTCCATCCTTCTCTTAAGATCTCCAAGACAACAGAACCACATCCAGGCATTGTCTAATTAGACTCCTTCTTTCAGGTCTGATGATAACAGAGTTCAGAGGTGTCACATGAATCATCTCCCCACATTAGAATATGTTTGTCCTTGTTTAGTCCCTTTTTATTGTTCATTTGTGTTTACTTTTTTATTTGTTTTTCTTAACTCTTGTCTTTGAACCTCAAAACTTCTAATCAACTGTAGTCTTTTTATCAGGAATTCTTAGAAGTCCCCCATCCCATTAAAAATCCAATTTTCCCCTTGTAGGATTATATAAGGGGGCAAAGAAGACTGAGTAGGAGGACAAAAATAGCATCAAGTCAAGCATTTTCTGTTTACCATTAATGGCCCTAGAGAAACTGCATTACTATCATAAGAAAAATGAGAATAATTTGCCCCAATAGCAACTAGAGACAGATCTTGAAATTTTAAGGACTTCACCATAAGGGTAACAGAGGGAACTTGGTAACAGCATGAATGAAAGAGGCAAGGCTAATGGGAATGGGGATGCCTAGGTCATGGGCAAGAAATGACAGGTCAAAGGTGGGAAGTATGGTCTCCAACCTGTAAATATGTGCTAAATCTCAAAGAGATCATGGCTCTAAGGAAAGAGAATGAAATCGGGGTTAAGGATGAGAAGCAGGAAATATCATGTCACAAGAAATCCTTTCACTTGACTGATTACTACCCTCTAAAGCATAATTTCTTCCTCAGAAGGGTGAAAAGAGGATAAGATCTCACCACTGAGGAATGGAGGAGATTATAGGAAAAGATTAAATAGCAATTTGATGAGTCACTATGACAACTCCTGATCAGGGTGTGCTCTAATGTGGCTAGTTTCAAAGGTCCTCTTTATAATATAATTTCATCAACTTGGGGAGCTTTAAGAAGATTTGCTTTTGCAAAGTCACTTATACAAGTTAGAGGCTCCAGTTGCGAACCATTTTTTGTTCCATTATAGGTAACTAGAATAAGGAATTGCACAACCTGGCCCCATAAAGATGAATCCCAAATGCAGTCAGTTCTTCACCGGAAGTTTGCAAAGGAGGTAAAGTTCCTAAAAGAGACAAGTTTAGTAAAATGGATTATATATCCCACCCTATTACCAGTTTATGGGGAGGATGATTAAGTCCCACTTTCTGAATGAAGCCCCACCCTAATGGCTTCAGGCTTTGGGTGTAGGCTTAACCCCACCATTCTATCATATGTGTGTGGGCAGATCCACTGGTGAAATAAAGGCAAGAGATTAGATCAGCAGTAGCAGTCCAGACAAATGTGGTTGTTGAGTCCAATAAGCTCTCTGGGCCTGGAGGGAGGAAGCACAGTGCCTGTTGCCCTCCTAGGTGGGCAAAGGTTAATAAAATCCTTCTCTAAAGGGAACTCTGGGTATGATTTCTCAAACCTGGGCTTCATAAGGAAGCAATTGATCATGAAGCTATGAGAGTATAAATAAAACTGAATCATGACATCTGGGATTGAGGGTCTTTGTGCCCTGATCAAGTTTATGACATCTCTTAAAATTCCTATCCCTTGTAGTAATCCTCAGTCTCAGGCCAGACTTGGGGGTTTCAGACAAGTCTCCCTAGGCCCAAGACTGAGTTGTTGCCCTGGGGACTCAGAGCATAATAGCTGTAGAACCATGAGGGGATCAGAGGCCATATGCCTAATCTCAATGGCCTGGAGAAAGGACTGGCACCAAATATGTATTTGGCTGCTGGACACTGACAGCCAAGTATCTATCATTCTAATAGGCTCCTAATGGGTGCATTATTTTTGTTTGGGGTTTCAGGAGATAGACCGCCAAAGGGAAGGACATTCTTGCTCAGGTAGAAGAAATGAATGTAAAACCCCCTGTATGCATGACAGTTGTGGTGGCTAATCAGATTTATGTTCACTGAAAAAAATTAAATTCCAACAAACAAAAAGGAACCAACAATTATGACTTTCTAGAAGACTGACAATGAATCATCTTCCCACTTGCTGTCATGGAGACAATGAACTAGAAATGCAGAGTAAGACATATATTTTCAGACATAGGCAGTGTATGGATTTGTTTTGCATGTTGTTCTTATTCAGTTGTTGGTGTTTTTTTTTCAGTCATATCCAGCTCTTTGTGACCATATTTGGTATTTTCTTGGCAAAGATGCTGGAATGGTTTTCCATTTCCTTATCCAGCTCACCATTCTCCAGCTTACAATTCATAGTTAACATGGTAGCTACAACATTGCCTTGTTTGGTTTTGTAACCTTCTGAACTTCCTTCTAGGGCTGCTAGGTGGCATGGTGAATAGAGTGTCAGGCCTGAAGTCAGAAAGACCTGAGTTCAAATCCAGCTTCAGATACCTACTAGCTGTGTGACCTTGGGCAAGTCACTTAACCTCTGTTTGCTTTAATCTTCTGGAGGACAAAATGGCAAACCACTCCAGTATCTTTGCCAAGAAAATCCCATGGATAGCTTTGACATGCTACAGTCCATGGAGTCACAAAAAAGTTGGATACAACTGAACAAAAACAACACCTAACAGCCAGTTTGCTTCTCTTTCACATATTAAAAAAATACTATACAAATCCACTGTATGGAAATTAATTTTTCTATCCCTTCACTAATTAAATTTTTCTTCCTTGGTTGATATTTTGTTTATAGAATGGGAGTGCCATGGCTTGCCAATTTGTTCATTTTTACATCTAGGACTATGAATGGGCCCTTACCTGTGTTAGATTATCAGAATGAAATTGTCTTCCCCATTTTTCTTGTTTTGAGGGGAAAGGTGAAATGACCAGTTGAAAAACAAAGTAAATGTGGGTTATTTTTCTTTCCTTCTCAGCTTCAAAGCTGCCTTAAGCCCCAAGTCTTTATATGTGAATTTGTGTGTGTGTGTGTGTGTGTGTGTGTTTGTGTTGATGATGATTGTGTATAGATGTGAAAAACTCTGGAACTTGGACTCTGTGTGTGATAGTAATGCTCTACTCCTACTTTCCTTTTGACAAACCAAATATCAATAATCCTTTAATAATAACAGCTGGCATTAATATAGTACTTTAAGGCTGGCAAAGCATTTTTCAAATATTATCTCATTTGATCTTCACAACAACCTTGGAAGAGGGATATTATCTCCATTTTACAGATGAGGAAACTGAGGCAGACAGAATTTAAATAACTTACCAGGCTCAGACAGCTAGGAAGTTGTCTGAGGCCAGATTTGAACACAGATCTTTCTGACTTGAGTCCAGCATCATCCATTGGACCACCTCTTATAACTTGTGGTAAGAATTAGAAGTCAAGGAGGAAGAAGATTCTAAATATAGGCCCTACTTGGAAGGAAAAGGCAGTTCCACTTAAAGGCCTAGTAATTAGAAAAATGACTTCATCATCTCCATTTCTGGGAAAAGCCCGTCAGTCCTTTCTTCTGTGGATTATTATTTATCATTTATTATATTATTCAGAAAACTATTAATTATTACACTATTTAAGTCTAACTTTTTGTGACTAGAGATTGTTTGATCACAGAATGTTACTCTCTAGCAATGCTGAAGAAGAATACAAGGAATTTGGGGTTCTCCTATGTCTTAGATCCACCCAAAACATTCTTGTTTTTGGTCTCCCCATCTGTCTTATTTTGAATTCACCCAAACTTGTGTTTTGGGTTCCCTTTGTGTTTTGGCTTTGCCCAAATTCCATTGAATGTTTATATTTACTCGTATCCATTTCAATCTACCTTGCTTTCAAGTTGTCCTCTCTAATAAATTGACTATGTATGTGTGATTCATGGGTGGATATTCTTGTCTAAATTCTAGGCAATATAAACCTTCTAGAGTCTAGGAGAGGAAGCCACACCTTCTCTGTAGTTTGCTGTCCCCTATCAAATGCCCTAATAAATTTCTTTCTGAAACTATTTGAGATTTTGGGGTTTGTTCTTGAGAACAACACTTGTGAGTCATTTGTATTCCCACATGACAGAAGATGAGAGACAGGGAACTGGACAGGTTGAGGAAAGAATTCTTGGTATCCTGGAAGCTGGACTAGATGGCCTTGGGATATATCCTGGGATTATGGATTTAGAACTGGAATGAGCCTTGGAGGTCATCTCATCCAACATCCTCAGTTTACTACTACTGTTCTCCTACTGTTTGTCCTTCAAAGAGGACCAGTGATGTCACAAGGTGAGGTCATGACTTGTATGTGAATTCGATGAATAGGACAATACTGCTATGCAAAGTTGCCAGTCCCACTTGGCTCTTAAAGTCATCAAATTCCATTGGCAAGATGAAGGTGAAAGACAAGTGGTAAAGCATGATATTTGTACCTCCTCAGGGGACTAATGAGCATCAGCCTTTGCCTGGTGTTGGGTTCCTTCCACAATGCCATTTCAGTTTACTGATGGTGACCCATTAGGCACACACATTACATACCATGATTCCAAGCTATTGAGTTGGGTTTCTTATCATTTAAAGTATGGGAATAAATAAAAAACATTTCAATCCAAGGCCACTAATTAATCACTTGATTGGATAAGAACTTCATGGCAGTGGTGCCAAGGGTCCAAAGCACCTGCCTGACTGGTGGGCCACTGTGAGATACCCAGCTATCCAGAGGGAAACATTGGGGGAAACCAGCTACTTTATAGATGAGGAAAATGAGGTCTAAAGAGATTACTTGACTTACCAAATTCACATAGGTAGGAAAGATCAAAGCTAGGGTTTGAAGTTAGGTATTCTGAGTCCAAGTTTAGCCTTCTTAACAACATTTTAGATTCTATGAACACATAGAATCCTTAGGAGGAAGTCCTAGCTTTATCCACAACCCACTTAAATAACCTGGGGGATCAGGGGAGCATCTTTAACCATTTCCTAGAACTATCCATCCTATGCTGATCTGTTCCTTCTTTTCTACCTCCTTCAGGCAAATCTGTCCCGTGAGACTAGACAAAGCTAGAAATATCAAGAGGAAGATTCCGATTTATATTATTGTGGATAAGTAACTTCTCCTTGCTGGACCTTGCTTTCCTCAGATATAAAATGAAGCAGTCCAACTGATGACTTTCAAAGTTTCTGCTCTCTCTATATCCTAGAAAAGAAAGAGGGAGATATTAATGCATCTTTGGCACTTCTTAGCCATAGGAAAAGACTCAGAGAAAAGGGCAGGTGGTGGTAAGGAGGTACTTCTTGGTGCTTCTCTCATCCCCCACCCTCCTAGATTGTGCTGAGGGTCTGAGGTCACATATCTCACAGGAGGCACTTCAGTCTGAGGCACCCGAAAACTCCCTGAACTTCAACCCCAAGCTATAGACCTTGTACCCCCTCCCTCACCATTCTGGGTGTCCACATATTGGGCATATTGTGATATGAGAAGAGAATGTGGATGGACTAAGACATCTCAAATAACAGCCACATCCTCAAGGTTTTAGCTGTTCAGTGGGAGGTACTCTGGCACCACCTTAAGGCTCAGAGATCTGACAAGTGACACTCTCATTTCCAAAATTTGGAGGGAGGAGCAAAATCTACTAGCAGTTCCTATAATGTGGGTATGTGGAAAAGTCAGATTTGTTTAACATAAATCTGAGTGGGTGAGAAGCATTGTGGAAATGCTCTCCTGCTCTTCCCCTCTGAGCTCTGTGCTTCCTTCTACTGCCCTCCACGTGCCACCTCAGTGCCCTTCCCCCAGTTCCCCACATTAGTTCTTCTTCCTTCGTAGAGGCTCAGAAGGAGGAAGAGCAGCGTCAGGGCCCTGCCCCTCCTACCATCTCCCTGGGGGCCAGATGGAGGATTGACAGCTCCCTGTGTTGTCTCCTTTTGAGTAACAAGAGAGGACCAGCATGGCCCCAGAGATTCTACTGTCGCTAATGCTACTGCTGCTGCTGCTGTCACTAGGAAACTCAGGTGGGGTGGGGATGGGATGGGGGAGGGGAGAGAGCTGAGCATGAGGAGGAAAGGGCTGAGGGAGGGTGAACAGTAGGGAGAAATATGGAAGGGATGAGAGAGAAGGTTCAAGAGGGGGGAAGGGCTGGGCACCATGGGGTGTCCAGGGGCAGAGAAGAAAGAGAGACTCTCTAAGCTGCCTTTTTCGGGCATATTCTGTCTATGGGAGGGCAGAGGAGGCTGCTTGCTGTCTGAGGAGACCACTCATCTTCTTATCTCCCAGGGAGGACTTGGGCTTAGCTCCAGTACCAGGAGAGGAGACCGAGGTCTCCAGGCTATGGGGCACCAGAGCAGGCTGAAGAAGAGCACAGACTCCTGGAAGGGGAGACGTTCAGTGTGAACTGCTCCTACAAGTCCCAGGAAGATAAACATAGATGGATGTCTTGGTGTAAAAAGCAAGAGAATGGAGAGTACTGTGTTGTACCACCCTTAGAAAAAAGCCCCAAGGTTTCCCTGTCAGACAATGAATACTTCTCCTCTTCATGACAATAGTAGCATCATCACTATCACTATCACAAAGTTGAGGCTCACAGTAAAGGATTCAGGTGTCTGTGAGTGTGTGATCCTTGAAGAATCTCCTAAGACAGTCCCTGAAGAATTTCCTAAGAGTGAAAAAGCCATCCTCAGGAGATTTCACCTGGTGGTGTCCTCAGGTAAGTCCCTTCCAGGTAAAGCCTGTTCAATTCAACACGTTTGTTAATCACATGCTTAAGTGAAGGCCCTTCCAAGGGGACAACGGGCCTCCTCAGCATCTCTGGACAGACTTTCATCCTTTCTAGTTTCCCCTTTTTCTCCCCTCCCTCATTCCCCTCAGCTCTTCTTCACTCTCCACCCTCATTCTTTAGTCAGGGGTTCTTGACCTTCTCTGTGTCATAGACCTTTCAACAGTCTAGTGAAGCCTATGTATCCTACCTCAGAATAATGGTTTTTAAATAATTGAAAGGAATGTTGAATTTCAGTAAAGGTTAGTGAAAATAAATGTGTTTTTTCTCTGCATCCAAATTCACTTGAGATCTATCCATGGACTCCTTGGGAGTCATTGGACCCCAGGTTAAGGACCCTTGCTCTAAGCTGAGTTAAGAATAAAGAACAAGCATTTATTAAGCACCTACTATGTGCCAGGCATTGTGCTAAGCACTTTATAGATATTATCTCATTTTATTCTCACAACAACCTTGGGAGGTAAGTGTTATTATTATCCCTATTTTACAGGCGAGGAAAGTCAGGCACACAGTCAGTCAAAAACATTTCTTAAGCTCCTACTATGTGTCACATCACTAACACTAAGCGCTCTAGATACGAAAAGAATCAAAAGATTCTACCTGTCCTTAAAGATCTCACAATCTGATGGGGAAGACAAAAAGCAAACAAATATGTACAAATAAGCTATATAGAAGATTAATATGAAATAATTAACAAAAGGAAGGCAGAGGGTTGGGAAAGGCTTCCTGTACAAGTGAGATTTTGGTTGGGACTTGAAGGAAGCCAGGGAGCAGAGATAACAAGGGAGAGCATTCTAGGAATGGGGGACAGCCAGAGAAAATGCCTGGAGCCAAGAGATAGAGTATCTTGCTTGAGGAAAAGAGAAGAGTCCAGTTTCACTGGATCCAAGAGCATCTGTTGGGGCGTAAGGTGTGAAAAGACTGGAAAGGTAGTACAGGGGGCTAGGTCATCAAACTAAGAATTTTGTATTTGCTTCTGGAGGCAATAGGAAGCAACTGAAGTTTACTGAGTAGAGCAGTGATATATTTGGATCCGTGTTCAGTCACTCTGGTAGCTGAATGGAGGACGGATTAGGGTGGCAAAGAGAAGGGGCAGACAGATCCACCAAAAGGCTATTACAGTAACAAAAGTGTGAGGGAATGAGGACCCGCACCAAGATGGTGGCAGGATCAGAGGAGAGAAGGGATCACATTTAAGAAATGTTGCAAAGGTGAAATCAACAAGCCTTAGCAACAGGGACACAGTGAGGATTCAAAGATGACTGACCCTAGAAGACTGAAAGGATTATGTTGCTTTAGTCAGTAATGGAAAAATTTGGAGGTGGGAAGAGTTTAGGAGGAAAGATAATGAGTTCAGTTTTTGGCGTGCTGAGTTTAAGATGTTTACTGGACATCCAGTTTGAGATGTTTGAAAGGCAGTAGGAGATATGAGACTGGAGATTAGTAGAGAGGTTAAGGTAGGATAGATGAATTTGAGAAGCAATAACATAAATAAAATGATTCAGTCCATGAGAGCCAATGAGATCACCAAGTGAAGTAGTAGAGAAGAGAACAGAGCCTCTGAGAGACACCTAGGGTAAGAAGGCATCACCTAGATGAGGATCCAGCAAAGGAGATTGAGATGGGATGGTCAGATAGGTAGGAGGAAAACAAGGAGAGAGCAGGGTCATGAAAACCTAGAGAAGAGAAAGGAAAACAGAGTGACTCACAGTGTCAAAAGCTACAGACAGGTCAAGGAGAATGAGTATTGAGGAAAAAAAACATAGGATTTTATAATACAAAGTAATTCAACATAGAGGTTAAGTGACTTGCCATGGCTAGTAAGCATCTGAGGACAGATTTGAACTTAGGTCTCTAGGCTCCATACTCTACCCACTGCACCATGTAGCTGCCTATGTTAGGTCTCCTGTCCCTGGGGAAGGTAAATGACCTTTTCCCAAGCCTGGTAAGAAGCTACCCCTGGAAATCATGGAGACCCAGGGTATGATGTACATATACAGGGACATGTGCTTATTCACACATATACACATATGTGCATATATTCTCCCACAAATAAGTGTTAACAGACACAAATTTGCTTTGCTCCTTTTATTCCTGCAGTCTCTGTATCCTTTCTATATAGGAGGCTTCAGTGGCACACCTGAAGCTGGAACAGGAGAAGATGCAGCTTTGTTTTGTCTTCATGTGACAAGAGCTCTAGCCATCTCCTGGGGAAAGAACAGCCTGTATGACATGCTGTACCATGTTGTTAATGGCCTGGCAGAGGAGGGACCCCTGAGGTGCCTCAAACATGACAGCAGCAGGAACCATAGGAGAGAATCCTGTAGATTGTATGATGAAGGGTATCTGACACAGCTCATAAGATATATCATAAATTATATTCACACAAGGCATTGTACTTTTTAAAGTGCCATTCCCTTACAGGGCCAGCATTCTTGCTCTGGCAGTAACTGGGTAGTATCAGCAGGTGGCAAGTTCACAAGTTTCTCTCTATTTCTTCTCTTCTCAGTTGAAACACAGAGCCCCACGAAAGGGATACAAACTACTACGGAGGTCATTTCCAACAATCCGGCCACCAACAACAGGTACCTCTACTTTCCAAAATCTTCCTTTTCTGTCCCAGAAGTCAATGCATTGTACATAACTTCTCCAAACCCTAGTATGCACTGGCCTGTTCCAAGATTCACTGACTTTTCCCATAGGGAGCCCAGGGCTGCAGCAGGCTTAGCACAAATTCACTTAATGTTTTTCCTCTCAAATTTAAGCTTATCATGGCTTAAGATCTGATATCCTCTGGCCCTAACCCATTGTCCAAAGTGGTTGGTTTGAAGGAGAAAGTTCCTCTCCCCATTTCTCCTTCAACTATCTGCATGTCACACTTCCTAATCTTGAGAGATATTACAGACCGACCAGAGTCAGCTGAGCTGAGGAGCTGGTCGTTAGTTAACTGCCTGGGACCAAAGAGCTTCACTCTTGGCCAAGGTGGGAGTCCCTACACTATAAGGAGGCTTGATTTTTCCCCAACTTCAATATGCCAAATCTTAGCCAAAGATGAGTTGATGGAAAGTACAAGACAGTGTACAAGGAGAAGGGGAGTAGGGTTACCAAAGGCAAATTTTCTGTACTTCACAATCTTGCCTTCAGAAACTATACCTTATCTTGTGCCCACCTGGCATTCAATGCCCTCATACCACTCTTTACCTCTCTACCTTAGTGGTTCCCAACTTTTTTTTTTGTTCTGTGAACCCCTTTCAACAACAAAAAAAAATGTGTTGTGAAACCCTAGAGTAATTTAGCATGCTATTTATATCCACTGCTAGAGGGGCCATTTAAAAAAAAATTAGCACTAACTTCTTGGACTATCATCTTGAATTCCCAAACCACTAAATGGGAACCACATAAATACAGCCCCATGGAATGGAAAAACCCTAGAACCTATCAAGACCATGGCATTCAAGAGAGGACCTGAATTATAATTTCTGCATTGCTTCATATTTACCTGTGTGAGCATGGAAAATCATTTCCTTCTTTCAGCCTCAGTTCCCATCTATAAAATGAAATTGTTGGATTTAATGATATATGAGGCCTTATCTAGCTCTAAATCCTGGGATCCTGAAAAGCAGATCCAAAGCCTTCTCCACTCCTAGGGACACTGTTTCAGGTTCTCTTCATTCTGTAGTCTCTCAGCATTTGCTTCCCTTTGGGGCTCAGTTTCCTTATCCATGCAATGAGGGAGTTGGGCTGTATCATGACTAAGATCTCTAAAGTTCATGATCCTTTCACAGAATTGTGTTCATATTAAACCTTGGCTAAACAAACTTCATTGAAATCTAAGAGCTTGACATTCCTTGAGCAATCACTATGAAGGAAAAGTGTCTAGAGAGGACAGTAAACAGTAATAATAGCTATTATCAATATTATCTCATTTGATCCTCACAACAACCCTGGCAGATAAGTGCAATTATTGTCTCTATTGTACAGACTGGGAAACTGAGGTAAAGTTTAAGTTACTTGCCCAGGTCACGTAGCTAGTAAGCGTCTAAAGCTGTATTTGAACTCAGGTCTTTCTAGCTCCAGGTTCAGCACTATATTCACTCTACCACCTAGTGAAAAGTGTTATAAATTTCATTGTTAGAATTTTCTAGGTCGGCAAAGGTGAAAACAAGATTAAATCCAAGACCTTACATCTTATAGAGGAGCCGACCTAGACTTAACACTTCAAATATTTGCTGTGCAACCTCACTTTCCTCATATGTAAAATGGAGGTATTAGACAAGATGATCATCAAAGTATCTTTCAGGGATCCTATGTACTATAAAGGTGACAATTGTTATAGAGAATCAGAGAGTATACAAGTGACCCTTAATGCAGTCTACTCTTCTTAGTCCATCCTCAAATGATTTGCCCAGGGTCACACAGCTAATAAGTGTCTGAGGCTGGATTTGAACTCAGGTCTTCTCATTTCAGGCCTGGCACTTTATCCATTCTACCACCTGATGAGAGGTAAGTGTTATATATAGATTTCATTGTTGTTTTCTAGATGGGCAAAGATAAAAACAAGATTCAAATCCAAGGTTTACTATCTGCCAGGCACTGTGCTAAGACTTTCATATTCATCATTTCATTTGATCCCCACAAAACCCCTGGGAGGTAGACGTATTATGATCCCCATTTTATAGATGAGGAAACTGAGGTAAACAGAATTTAAGTAACTTGCCCAGGGTCACACAGCTAGTAAGTGTCTGAGGCTGGATTTGAACTCAGGTCTTTTCATTTCAGGCCCAGTGCTTTATCCACTGTACCACCTGGTAGGGGTAAGTGTTATAGATTTCATAGTTATCATTTTCTAGATGAGCAGAGATGTAAACAAGATTAAATCCAATCCTCCTTAAAGAGGAGCTAACCTTGTCCCAACACTTTAAATAATTTCCTGTGTGACCTCAGTTTCTCATATGAAAACTGGAGGTATTAGGTAGACAAGATGGTCACTAATGGGCCTTCCAGTATCCTATGAACCTATACATGTGAAAACTGTTACAGAGAATTAGAAAGTATACAAATTTACCTCTCAGTACAAGTGATAGGTACAACATTTAATTCTACCCCTTTTCTTACCACTTCTTCAAATGTAAGGGAGAAGTTGGTGACTACATATGATTTGGCAGCCTAATATTCGGCTGAAAGTGCAGCTGCTAATTTACCATCTTGCTGAGTCCTAAGCATCAAAAACCTCCAAGGTGGTAGGATACCTTTACTGCCAAAATGCCCTCTATTTTATTGTGTTAGGCACAGAGCAAATCAGGTGCCCAGGGTGGTTTACTTCTTCCCCACCCCACCAACTTTCTCTCATATCTGGCGTATCTCTCTTCCTCTAAGTTCCTCAGAAAAGAAATTAAGCATTTTGGGTGTGGTTCTTTCTTGCCTGCTCCTATTGGTGCTCCTTGTTGTGGGCATCATTTGTACCAGGAGGATCTACCAGAAAGCCAGGAAAGGTGAGAAATGGGGTATCTTAACCCTTTTATACATTCCATCTCTGCCCCCAATCTCCCTGATCTCATACCTCTCTAATACTGTGATCTCAGGCCAGCTAATGAGAGTTCAGGATACTATACAGCCTTTGAACACTATGGTACCAGTCTGCTGACTGATCTCCTTCTATTTCTTTATTCTATGACACATCTCATTTGACTATATGAGTTCCAATTCCCCTAGATGAGCTTCTTGGGGGCAGGGACTTTGTACCTTGAATGAATACTTGGAGATGAATATTTCTCCTCCTTTTCTCCATGTCACTGACCATAATTCAACTGAATTCTCCATTCAGTTCAATTTATTTCAACAAAAACTTGTTAAATGCATACTGTGAGCAGATAGTGTAAGGTGCTGGGGAACACAAAAACAGGTGTGACACAGACATTGCTCCCGAGGAGCTTACAAAATAAAGGAGAAGGAGCAGGGGAATTTGTACATGACTAAGTGTTTTATGAGAGAGTGAGAAGAATACAAAACTGGCCAGGTCATAGTGCTATGAGAAGTGTGAGGAAGGAGAGATCACTTTCAGCTGACTCACAGGGTGGGAGTAGGGGTGAGGAAGCTGATGAGGACATGACACAGGACTTGGGGCTTGAGATCCTACAAATGGAGATGAGGCTGGGACTGGTGAATGCTACTCCAAGGGTAGAGTACAGCATGAGAAAAGGCATGCAGAAAGGAGAGAGTGCAGTTTGGCTGGAATATAGAATAAACGAAGGTGAGTCTGGGAAGATTGAATGGAATCAGTTTCCGTAGAGCTTTGAATGCCAGGCTAAGTAGTTACACATGCATGCACAAACACATATACTAGGAATCTTCCCCAATCTCTTCCTCTTAAATCCTTCAGTAACAGCCTTCAGTAACTCGCCATTTCAAGTCCCCAGAATAGGAATGGAACTTATGACAGCTACATTTTGAATTGTGTTGGGGGAGCAAGAAAGAGGATAAGGAATGGAGAAATGGAACCCTATCCATGGTGCTAAAGTTTAAGCTTAAGAGCAGAGCTGGGCAGCTGGGACAGTAACCCCTTATTAACTTCCATGTAGGGGGTTCACTCCTCTAAAGGTATCTCTTTTGACAGGTGATGACTCTGAGACCCAGGAGAAAAGGCAAAGATGAGTAAGACTACTTGTCCTTTACGTGGGCTTCATACCTTTCACCTTGTAATCTCATCTGAGCCACACTACAGCCCTGTGCTGAGGGTAGGATGGAGTTTTTATTACTCTTCACATAAACAGATTCTAAATCCCATCATTTAGAGCTGGAAAGGAAGAGATTACCTAGTTCAACCCACTCATTTTGCAAGGGAAGAACCTGAGATCCACAGAGGTCAAGAGACTTGACCAACATCACGCTATGAGTTATTGACAAAGTGGCGACTCCAGTCCAGCCTTCCTAATCCCCTGCCTTGTGCACTTTATGCTATAATGCACAATGCCCAATGGCAAAAAAAGAACTCAGACCCTCTACCAGAAAGTCTCCAGACAGGAAATTTCCTCTCCTGTCCTACTCCTAAGAGCAAAGATGGGCAGATCTATCTGTCCTAGTCTAAAAGATCTCTCAAAATAGAAAGGGCAGAATTTGTGTCATAGATTATAATGATTGTATTTGAAATGAGAAACTACATTTTCAGTTTTATAAAGTTATAGCCTTATATGCAGAGCCATAACTAGGAATTCTGGTGCCTGGGGCAATGTTGTCAGGGTTGGAGAAATCAAAGAGCTTTGGCCCAGCCAATACCCTGGGAAGGTGCAAGGTGAAGTGCAGTCTCACAGACCAATTTTGGTGTGGGCATGAGAGGAGGAAGAAAGCATGTGAAGACAATTTGGCCCATCCGGTAACCCTCCCCCCCTGAAGAAAGAGGGGATATGGCAGGTTCTGGTGCCATGGTCATTTGGAAGAGGTGAGTATATTCATGGAGAAGGTGGCCACAGGAGGATGGCTGGACCCTTGTGGAACAATTAGGGGTTTGGGGCATAAAAGAAATTTCAAACTATTGGGTACAATGTTGCAGACAATTCATGGGGGAATCAAGATTAGGGTGTCTTGGCTATAAGGTAAGAAAGGTGATGTCTTTTGCAATAAGACCCACAGAGGTCCAGGCACTGTGAGGATGGAGCCAGGGAAGCAGTATGCCCCCATACCCCTTGAAAGATTGTCAAGCCGATATAAAGTCCCAGTCACTTCATCCTAGTTATAACTCCACTTACATCTTTAATTAAATTTTGATTGATAACTTTTGTTTTTATATCATCTACATATCCTATCATAGTCTTTTCCTTAAACTTTTCCAGAGATCTGTCCTATATAATAAAGAAGGAAAAAGAAGTTAAAAATATGGAGGCCCATAGGAGAAGATTAGACATTCTTGGAAGATGGGCTTTAGGAAATAGATTGGAACGTTGTGAAGCAGTTGAGAAGATACAGGAAACAGTTTACCCCATTGCGTATAGCCTTGAAGACAACCTCTAAGGAGAGGAAAAGAGGAAGAAAATACAGTGAGGGCAAGAGGAAGGTTAGAGTGCCTTAGCTGTGAGGCAAAATATGGCATGTCTCAATGTAGGGCCAACAGAGTTAAGTAGAAAATGCTAGAATGAGCTCAGAGGAGGAGCATGCTCCCATACCCCTTAAACAGTGGTTGCTAAGGCATGAAGCCCCAGTCACACCATCCTAGTTACAACTGTATGTGTTCATTTTATCTTTGTTTCATGGGATGCCACAGCCAAAGAATTCACTACCTGGTGGACAATCTTTTGGTCATCAATTTCTCTGTGCTTAGTTGAGCTATTCCTTGGACAGTCGACACCATTTGTTTTCAGGCTTATACTCCTTTCTAATCTTTCCAGATCAACAGGAACTACCAGAGCCTGTCTTTTCTTAATATAGTCTGAAAGATCCCAGGTCAGTCACCTGCTGTCCCTCGATGAGACATCATCAGAGGCAGACTTGATAGAGGCCCAAAGCGTTCAGAGGTCATTCTATTGTGAATTGCCAATGCACTGAATAACTGAGGCAGGGGGAACAGCTACTCTGCAGGCTCCTTTATTCAGAGAGGGCCAGCAGATGCCACAAGTCAGAAAATGTTATTAAATGCAAGAAGTAGAACACTAGATTGTTAGCTCCTTGAGGGCAGGAACTGTCTTTTGCCTCCTTTTGTACTCCTATTGCTTAGCAAAGTGTCTGGTACATAGTAGGTACTTAATAAATGTTTGTTGATTAATTGACTGATTGAGACAGGACAAATACAGACACTGGGACAAATCATCAATGCATTTAAAAAAACCCTTTTTTTTCAAAAATATGTTAGTCACTAGAGATTGGTTAGTATAATGGAAAAAGCAACGGACCCATAACCAAGAAGCCTGGTTCTAGTTCCATCTCTGCCATAACCTAGCTGAATAATCCGCTAGGGTTATAAAAACTCATGGAGCTTCAGTTTCCTCATCTGTAAAATTAGGATAATACTTGTACTATCTACCTTACATATTTCCTATGAGGGAAGTGCTTTGTAAACCCCCAAATGCTCTTGAAATCTGTTGTTATTGGGATCAGTACTATGGGTGGAGTGGGGAATTCCCTAATCCCTGTGATGATCACCTCAATCAATGTGATGAGCCCACAGCACAGTGAGAGAGCCTTCGGGGCAGGTAATGAGTGCCTTCTTGCAAAGAATGTGGGCATGGCAATTGGTGCCAAATTGAGAGGACAGGAGCTGACTCCTAATTGGGTTTTTAGGAACTGAAGCTATCTAGAAAGTGATTTTCTGGTTGGGACTGTGGGGAAGACAGACTTGTCAGAGCTGGCAGAGCTGCAGGGCACTTCAAGGGCCCTTTTTTTTCTTCTCCGTGTTCATAGGAAAGACAGACCTAGTCTGCCACAAACTGGTCCGTCTTCCAAATGAAAAAAGGTTGTATAGGACAACTACAGTAACTCATTTTGGATTCCCAACATAGGTTTGATCTGTTCCCTAGTACTGTTCTGAGGCATATGCTGGTAAATTTTAACAATGAACTCTCCTGCACCCATTCCCCTCCCCACCTACTAGGTGTCAGGCCCTGTGCTAAGTGCTGGGGATGCAAAAAAGGCAAAAGACAGTCCCCCCGTCCTCAAGGAGCTTACAATGATCACTGGGCATGAGGGCATCTGAAGTCTAGTTCCTATTCTGCCACTAACTTTGTGTGTGACCTTAGCACTTCCCTTGTCTGAGCCTCAGTTGACTCACATATAAAATGGAGAGATAGACTAGATAATTCCAAAGGTCTCATCTAGCTTAGACATTCTATACATTTGTCTGTGACATTCCCCACAGATGCTTACTAGGCATTTTCCATCCTCCCCCTATCACGTTAATGTTTCTTCCTTCCCAGTGTAGCTTGATACTGTCTCTCTTCCCCTGGCTTCTAGAGCTCTGCAATGAAGATGGACAGTGATGAGAATGCTGAGGACATCCATTATGCCACAGTGTCCAACAGAAGCCCCAGAGAGCTGATCAATACCAAAACTCATACTCCTGCTGAAGCTGTGGAATATGCTACCATAACAAGGAACTGATGGCAGCTGCCCAAATCAAATGCTCCTCAGAATCCAATGTGGAAGGACTAGGAGAGTTCACTACCAGCAATGTTGGTGAATCATGTCTCCTCCAGCAAAGAAGTGATAGAACAAAAATGTATGGAAATGAGAAATATGTTATTAGACAAGGACCATGTATAGATTTGTTTTGCTTAGCTATATTTCTTTGTTGGGAGGAAGAGTTTTATAGGATTTTTTTTTGAGGGGGGTAGTAAGAAGTGGTAGCATTCTAAAAAAGCCCAGTATGAATAAAACATCTTTTTTATGTATTAAGCATTTACCTTGTACAAAGCTCTATGCTAAGCCTAGTATGTGTTTCTGATGGGCAAGAAATTTGCTTTAGGGAAAAGGAAGAAGCTCCATGAGATTTTATAACCCTAGTGGATTATTCAGAGATGGCAGAGATGGAACTAGAATGAGGCCTCTTGGTTATGGGTCCATTGCTTTTTCCATTATACTAACCAATCTCTAGTGACTAACATATTTTTGAAAATAAGAGGGTTTTTTTTAATGCATTAATGATTTGTCCCAGTGTTCTGTATTTGTCCTGTCTCAATCAATCAATTAATCAACAAACATTTATTAAGTACCTACTATGTACCAGACACTTTGCTAAGCAATAGGAGTACAAAAGGAGGCAAAAGACAGTTCTTGCCCTCAAGGAGCTAACAATCTAGTGTTCCACTTCTTGCATTTAATAACGTTTTTGACTTAATAACATTTTCTTGACATACACACACAGAGTAATCAATTATCAACTTTAGGTTTTAGTATTAAAACAATACAGTGCTCATAAGTGATAACCAAATTGTTTTAGCTGTAACACAAAATAATAAACAATGACAACAATTGCGTTTCCAGATCATATAAAAATTATTGATAGAAGGATGGCTGTCTTACCAAGCGCAAATGCAGACTGGCTGGCTTCTTTACCTGGACCTGTCCTTCACTCTTCCCCACAGTTGTGTACTGGAAGATGCTTCTAAGCTCTAGTTGCTACCCCTCCCCATCCTTCCTTTACCCAGGTGGAGGAAGGTGAATTTGCAGGTGGAGGTGAAATGGTAAAACTCTCTTTTCCTAATCTTATCTAGCATGAGAGGGCTTAACAGGAAAACCTGAGGCTGAGATATGCTCTTGACTTGGGGATGGGGGGGCAGTGGGGGAAGGAAGTGACAAGATTGTAAAAAGGTTTACACTTTACACTTTCACTTCCTTCCCCCACTTTCCTTAATGATCAATTTCAAAATTTCCAGAATCTGCTAAGATGTTTTAGCTGTCCTTTTTCACTTCTACATCCACCCCTTAAAAAACTTAGAAGGGGCATTGAACCTTTCAGAACTGCATTCACGAGACCAGCTGTCCTTTCTTATGGTACCTGAAAGCACTAACCATTGACTGTTTCTCTGAAAGCATCCATTTAAGGCATATCCAAGGACACAACAAACATAGAAATGAAACTTGCAAAATTCACAGTAGATTTGGACATAATTGTTATCAGTATCAAATTATTGCAATGAATTAGCTTGCAAATGGAAACTCAGTAGGCCTTCTAAAAAATCATTCAAAAAGATTTTGCAAAACATTTCTTTGTAAAAAGTATTTCCCTTTCTTAAAAAAAAAAAAGCTTACAATTTATCCTGATGTTAAAAGGAGTTCCGAGATGTAGTAAAGTTAAAGCCTGTTGGATATCCTCACTAAGTCTAGGACCGATATGTTGAGCCCATGGGAACAGAATCACTATGTTGCCTGAGGAGGTGTGAACTGGCCCAGGTCAGGAAAATGGAGCAGGTAAAAGCCAATCAGAATCAAGATTGGGCCAATGAGTGGCTGTTACACTTCTAGCCTGAGTAAGATATGGAGAACTGGACTGGAAAAAAAAAAAAGCACTTGTAATAGGGGTTTGGTACATACTTAGACCACCTAAGATGGCAGCACCCAGAAGGAATTTGCTGGGGACCTGCTTAATTGGTACATACTTGGGCATTCTCTGTTTGACTACTAAGTGGTTAAGAAGAGCCTTTTTCCACTGACTGCATAGTTGATTCTGTCAATAGCTTTGAAACAGCCTTACTGAGAACACTCAGGGCTTAAGGATTCCCCTCACAGCAAGTGACACCATGCAGTAAATGGGAAAAGGCTTGAGGGGCCTCCTCTTCTCCACCCCCACCCCCTCTTGGGCCATTTGGTCTCAACAAATGGACCTGAAGTTTGGGGTTTTTCTTTCATCCTTTTTTTGTTCTAGGTGTAGAAACTGGAATCTCCAAACTGAGAACAATGCGTGGGGGTGGGGGTGCAAGGGTGCAGAGTGCAAGAATGCAGGAAACTGGCCCAAAGGGACTTTGGACTTGAACTTGAAGGGACTAATGTGTAAAAACTGAGCTAAATTGTGAGGCTAATTCCACCGGAAGTGGGAAGGTTGTGCCCCCAAGGTGCTGGAGGGAAATGTTTGAATATTCGTTCTTCCTAAATCTTTGAAGTAAATATTCCTTTGTAAAAGCTAGTCTAATGATAAGTAATTAAATAGAATTGGATTGCTAGTCACTGAGCCCCTAAAATGGGGAGAACATATTTGGTGGAGGCTTGAGCCAAGAGCAGAGAAGAAGACTCCCCAGTCCCCAAAGGTACTAGAGATCAGGGTGTGTGTGTGATAGGTTAAAACATAGCACACCTGGTCCTGAAAAAGTGGGGCCAGAGTCAACCATGTGACATACTATGCAATTTCCCCAGAACAATCCAACCCACTCCTCATCTGTTTGATTCTGGACCAAGAACATTGTCATGTGCAGTGGCTTTGCGGATATATAAAGATACTGCAGCCTACTCATACCCACCATGTTCTTCTCCATTTCTCTTTGGGTGGTGTTCAGTTTTAATTCTTCAGAAATAAGTGTTTCCCATAACTCTTCCTCCTCCTCCTCATTCTCCTCTTCCTCCTTCTCTCTCTCTGTCTCTGTCTGTCTGTCTGTCTCTCTCTCTCACAAGCACACATATACACACTAATTAGGATAATTAGGATGAATTCTTTGAAGAACTATAGATGTCATGTAGGAACGTGCTATGTTCCAGAAGATGTCATGGTCACAAGGTCATTCACAAATAGGGACATTTGAAGTACTTTACCACCTACAAGGAATCCATCTTTCATCTTTCATTTTTTTAAATTTAATTTAAATTTTTTTTTGGTGTTAAGTAACTTGCCCAGAGTCACACAGCCAGTATGTGTTATGTGTCTGAGGCTGAATTTGAACTCAGTTCCTCCTGACTCCAGGGCTGGTGCTCTATCCACTACCATTGTCTTGTATTATAGCTAGAACATTCAACTCAGAGTCAGAAAGCCCTGTGTATGAGTATCTAGGCATTAACTTTACTTTATTCAGTCCCAATTTCCACATCTATAAAGTAATAATCATAATAGCACCCATTTCACAGGGTGGTTGTGAATATCAAAGAAGGCAATGTATCTGAAGTGCTTTGCAGATCTTGAAGTGCTATATAAAGTCCAACTATTTTTATTGTTATCTCACTTATCTTTTTCAATGTGGGTCAGATAGAAATTGTCTTGGGACAAGTTCTGACCTACTATTATTACTTTGCATTCGATGAGCTGTAGACTATTGCTCAAATGGAGAACACAAGTTTTTCTATAGTTGAGTGAAAGTAAATAATAATAATAATAATAATAATAATAATAAATTAACAAAAGCTCATCCTCTATAGGCTTACTGAAAGAATACTAAATACAACTCCAAGAGTAGATAGGACAATGAGGATGATGTGTATTTCATACATTTCTTCTATGATTTTGGTCTCCTCAGAGATCTCCTGGGAGATTATGATTCTTTGGGATGGCAGCACCTATTAAAAATGTTGTTCTTAAGTTTTTATGCTTCAATACATGGTTTGGGCGAATGTGGGAATTATAAACCAATATCACTAAAGAATATTGATAAAAAGGAATTTAAATAAATCTTAAGGGGCAGCTAGGTGGCGCAGTGGATAGAGCACCGGCCTTGGATTCAGAAGGACCTGAGTTCAAATCCGGCCTCAGACATATAACACTTACTAGCTGTGTGACCCTGGGTAAGTCATTTAACCCCATTGCCTAGCAAAAAAATAAATAAACAAACAAACGAATGAATAAATAAATCTTTAAAATACTAACGCATTTTTCACTGTGGTGAAGTTGGGCTCATACTAAGGACAGAAGGTTGATCCAAATTTATCAAAACAAATCACATAATTAGCTATATTAAAAAGCAAAAAACTCATCAAAAGATATAATTATAGCATTAATGTAAAAAAATAAAAGCCATCGACAGAATGCAATATTCATTTATACTCAAAATATGATAAATCATAAGAAAAGAAGGGGCATTTTCGTATATCATGGAGGTATATATTTAAATCCAAAAGATAGCATTATTTGCAATAGGGAAACACTGGAATTTTGACATAACTCAAGAAATGTTAGCAACAACAATAAGATAAGAGAAATGAATGAAAGGCTTGTACATTGGCAAAAAGGAAATAAAATCATTACTATTTGCCAATGATGTGAGGGTACTTGATAGATCTAGATAATATAATAATGAAATTCATTTGGAGGAACAAAAGGGCTAGAATATCAAGGATAATGGGGGTGGGGGGGAGTAGAAACAAAGGGGAAAATACCAAGTTCCTCCAGACTTTAGATTATATTATAAAATAATAATCATCAAAACTATTTGGCAGAGTAGGTCAGAAAATTACAAGCTCTCCAGATTTCCTCCACGGAGAAGACAAAATAGTGCCTCAGGGTGAATGCAGAGCAGCAAAAATAAACAAGAGTTGGGGCAGAACAGTGGTCTTCCTGGGACAACTGGAGAAGATCTGAAGAAAGACCCCAGGATGGAGGATCTACCTGAGTGAAGTGTAAACATCTCCAGGCTATCTCAGCTGAAATAACAAACAACAAGACCTGTGGGCAGCTGGGTAGGGAGGTAGCCTCAGTCTCAGTCTCAGCCACAGGAATTCTCACCTCACAGACAGTGTGGGGGGTCAGACATCTGAGCTGCTGAGGGATGCCAGGCCCAGCTGTGCCACTGAGAAGTGGTCCAGGGGAGAAGGAACCAGCACACAACTGATGAGTGCAGAAACAGTGGGGAGGACATGCTACTGGCTATGGGAACTTACAGGAGAGTTGAGTTCTTGGTTTCAGTTCCAGGCCAGAGGGGAGAATTGAAGGTCGTAGCCAGTGGAGGGTTCTCAGGGAGTAAGAACATTTCCATTGTAGCATGGTCTGGGGCCCTAGCTGTGGCTTAGAGGAATAAAGGAGTGCAGAGTTTGGGCCCTGGACAAAGCTCAGAAAACAACAGTAAGAAGGACCTGAGGCCAGAGGCATCACCCCCACACCCCAGGACTAGAGGTAATTATAATAACAAGCTGCTAAAAAAATAAAAAGAACAAAAATGAGCAAGCAAAGGAGAAAGTACCCAACCATAAACAGTTACTATGGAAATAGAGAAGACTAGGATTCATCTTCAGAGGATGATACTGAAGCAAAAAAAAAAAAAGCCTCTCCTACCCAAAGAATACTGTCAAATGGTAAACCTGCCCAAAAAGAGTTCTTAGAAGAACTCAAAAAAAAGGCTTTAAAAATCAAATAAGAAAGATAGAGGAAAATTTTTTTAAAAAGCAATCCAAGAAAACCAAGAAGATTATAAAAAGAAAGTTAACCAACTGGAAAAGGAGATCCAAAATCTTAAGGAAGAAAACAACTCCTTGAAAATTAGAATTGGGCAAGGGAAGCCTATGATGTTATAAGAGGCCAAGAAATAATAAAACCAAATATAAAGAATGAAAAAAATAGA